TATAAGGAATCCTCAACCTACAGCCACAATCGGGACCGGCACCGCCATCACTAAGAAAGGCCGCTGTTGAGTGAGGCACGTCCGGTTTTACGATTTTTGCCCGCAATTGTTAAGTAAAGGATAGGAATCGTTAAGTGAAAATGAGTCAGTTGTCCAGCGTCCCAATTTTGATCACCTGATCCCAGGGATATTGCGACGGTCGTAAGCGTGAGAAACAGTCATAAGTCCCTTTTTTCAGTGCCGTTGTAACTTCGGTCCCTAAACGAATGGTTGGAAGTTGAGGACTACCTACAAATAGCAATTAAGACAAGTGGCTCTCCAGCCTTTTCTTAAAAAACTCCAGTGATGGAGCCCCCACAATTTTTGGTGGAAGTAGTTCCACTGGTTAATTGTTTTAACTGTTAGAAAATTTCTCCTTAGTTCTAAGTTGCTTCTCTCCTTGATTGGTTTCCATCCTTGGCTTCTCGTCCTGCTTTCAGGGGCTTTGGAGAATAAGTGGACCCCCTTCCTCTTTTGGGGGGCAGACCCTCAGATATTGGAACGCCGCTATCCTGTCCCCCCTGGTCCTTCTTTTCATTGAACTAGACAGACCCAATTCCTGCAACCGTTCTTCATATAATAAGTTTATTTCTGGTCTCAATTGCAGTTGTAAATCAAAGAATAGCCGAATAACATCATTGGAAGGGACCTTGGAGGTCTTCTAGTCCAACCCCTCCCCCCCCCCGCACAAGCAAGAGGCCTCATACCATTTCATACAAATGGCTGTCCAACCTATTGAATAATCATAAATAAAGAATAAATAAATAAAGAATAAATAAATAGTGCGTTGAATAAATAATTAAATAAATAATAATAAATAATAACTAAATAATGCATTCAATAAATAAATAAATAATAAATACATTCAATAAATAAACACATACAATAAATAATTAATACATTCAATATATAATCCAATAATGCAATAAATAAAAATAATAAATAAATGCATTCAATCAATAAACGCATTCAGTAAATAAATAAATGCATTCAATCAATAAATGCATTCAATCAATAAACGCATTCAATCAATAAACGCATTCAATCAATAATAAATAAATGCATTCAATAAATAAATGCATTCAATAAATAAATAGTAAATAAATAAATGCATTCAAACACGATTAATGCATCCCAATAAACTCCTCTGGGCTACTCAGAGGCCGGGTTGGAGGAGGGGAAAGCTCTCTGTAGAGAGACCCCAAGGCCCCCCCACTCCCCTGGAGCCTCCCCCAGGCTTCCTTCTGGCCTCAGCAGCAGCCGCCGCCGCAGCAACGGATGCACACAGGGCGTCTTCCATCCGGGAGACGAAGCCCCCAAAGATTATCACTCTCCAGAACGGGGGCCCCCGTTTCCCTTTCCTGCCGAGCGAGCAATCGGGCGAGCAGGGCCCAGCTGCCGTTTCCGCTGCTTTGCCGGCACCGTCAAAAGCCTCACTCGGCACCGTCCCCGAGGCCCCACATCCCTCGTGCAGGGAGAGGAGGAGGAGGAGGAGGAGGAGAAGACGGTGCCGCCACCGCCGGGGTCACCCAGCTCTTCCTCGGCTCTGAGTTCAGGTCCAGCACCTATCAGGGGCAATTTCTGCTCTGGCTTCTCTTACTTTGACTTTTATTGTCCTTGCGTCTCGTACGACGCCATCAAACACCACCTTCGGTGCCATGAAAACAACACACAAACACACATCCTTTCACACGCCGCCCATTGAATTGAAAACCCCTGATATGGCAGGAATATGGCGCTACGCCGTAGAACTCAAAAGAGCCGGTGACAGCCCCGGGATGGAAGCTGTTTTTCTGCCTGTTTGTCCTTGTTTTTATTATCCTGTACGTCTGCCAGGTGGTAATAGTTTTAAAAAAAAGGGTTTCCCAGGATGAGGATGGATCTTTGAGGATGTTTTGAACTTTCTTAAGGCAGCGGGAGCTAAAAAGCTCTTCCAAAGAGGGGAGAAGGCAACCCAGGATCTTCTGGGCAATGACCTTCGCCCTCTGGAGTGACATCCTATCTGCCCTGGTGCAATTGATAAACCACTCTTTGTTGTTGTTAGTTGCCAAGTCGTGTCCGACCCACCGCAACCCCATGGACAACATTCCTCCAGGCCTTCCTGTCCTCTACCATCCTCCGGAGTCCCTTTAAGTTCACACTGACTGCTTCAGGGACTCCACCCAGCCCCCTTCTTCTGTGCCATCCTCCTCCTCCTCCTCCTCCTCCTCCTCCTCCTCCTCCTCCTCCTCCTCCTCCTCCTCCTCCTCCTCCTCTTCTTCTTCTTCTTCTTCTTCTTCTTCTATTGCCCTCCATCGTTCCGAGCCTTCAGCTCTTCTCCAGTGAGTCCTTCTTCCTTCTCATGAGGTGGCCAAAGTCTTTGAGCTTCCTCTTCAGGATCTGGCCTTCTAAAAGAGCAGCCAGGGCTGATCTCCTCTAGGACTGACCCGTTGGATGGCCTTGCGGTCCAAGGGACTCGCCGGAGTCTCCTCCTCCAGCCCCAGAGTTCAAAGGCCTCCATTCTTTGGCGCTCAACCTTCCTTCTGGTCCAACCTTCACAGCCATACGTTGCCACTGGGAAAAACCATCGCCTTGACGCTACGCACTTTTGTTGGCAAGGGGGTGTCTCTGCTTTTTAATATATTCGCTTCTCTACCTGCCCTAAAAATACAGACTTTCTCCCCAGCCCCCCCCAGCCCCAAATTGCAAGCAAGAAAAGCCCAGACCGGATCGAAAGCGCCACCTGCAAAATGCAAACTTCAGAGCACGCCACGAATTCTGCAAGCAGCCCTCTGCAACACGACGTGGCAATGTAAAAGTTTCTTTCTTTTTTTTGCTTCTAAGTCAGCGTCGCACCTCTTCGTTCTCCCCCCCCCCCCCACCCTCCCCGACCGTTTCCATCTTGGGGCTTTCCCGGACCCCAATTTTATTTTCCCTTGTGGTTTCCTGAAGTCTATGCTTATATCTATCTCCTCATTGTCATTCAGGAGGTGCTGCCATACTATTGGTACAAGCCCTGACACCCTCTAAACTAATGTTTTTGCAAACTTGGCGAGACTGAGTGGAAGGCAGGGGCCAAGCTTGAAAAATGGATGTATAAATTATTGCTTGCCACTGAATCAGGGTTTTGTGCACCCTTTGGGCATCTCAGTTTAAAAACTGGAGGCTTTTAAGAAAGAGATTGGATAGTCATTTGTCTGCAGGGGTCTAGACCAGGGGTCTCCAACCTTGGCAACTTTAAGCCTGGCCGACTTTAACTCCCAGAATCCCCCGGCCAGTTTAGGAGTTGAAGTCCGCCAGGCTTAAAGTTGCCAAGGTTGGAGACCCCTGGTCTAGGGTTTCCTGCTTGAGCTGGGGGTTGGGCTAGAGGACCTCCAAGGTCCCTTCCAACTCTTGTTATTCTGCGTGTGAAATCCAAACCCATTGTACAGCCAGCGGGGCGATGGGGAGGAGAACTCTTTATCCAGAATGACAAACTTTAAGCCCCTTCCCCTTTCCTTTTGCAAACAGGAAGCGTTTGGAGGAGGATGGGTGCTGGAATCCCACAATATTTTTGAGGGTATTTGATATCGGAGAGCCCGTTGGGTCCCGTGGCTAAGAAAGAAGGGAGTCCATGAGTTCTCGTCCTGCCTTAGGCATGCATGTCAGCTGGGGGACTTTCACCAGGAGACGGTGAGTTCTAGTTTTGCCTCAGCTAGGAGAGCCGGCTGGGGGACCTTTGGCCCAATCCCCAGGTGACTGGGAGTTCTAGTCCCACTCTAGGCCCGAAAGGCGGTCCAGGTGACTGTCTTTCCTCTCTTAGCCCAACCCACCTTGCAGGGTGGTTGTTGCTGTGGGGAAAACAGGAAGAGGGAGGTGCGTTGGATGGGTTCACCCCCTCGAATGATTTGTAAGAAATAAATAAACAAAGCTAGAATAGAAATAAATGAATAAATAAATATTAGCGGTGGAAGAGTCCGGAAGCAGGAAAACGATATACCTGCCCGGCTCTAACCTGACCTCTTCCCTCAACTCTCTGCTTCTCTCTCTCTCTCTCTTTTTTCCTCATTTTGGATGCCTTTGGCTTTTCCCTCCTCCCTTCCAAAAAAGTCGCTGCATTCCTGATCTGCCCCACACCTGCCCAGGGGAGGTGAGCTGGGCTAGCAAAGGACCCAGAACCGGTTTTGCCGCTCCGGGCTCCCTTCTTCTTCTCCGGGCCAAGCAGCCCCTCGCCCAAAGGCAGCTCACTGGGAGCACAGGTGGTGTGTGAGGCTGTCGCACCAGCAACACACCTGTCCCCCCCAAAGGTGCTTCGTTTTCCTCCTCTCCTCCGCCCCCACACACCCCAAAAGGCAACTGGGACTTTTCTTGGGTTTTGAGAAAGGAACTGAGAACTGAAACGTTTTTTCAAAGAAAGTCCATTTGGCTTTTGGAGTGGGGGGGCGGGAGGGGGGGGGCACACAGAAGCACCTTGGCCACCACCATCACCTGGAAAGTCTCCACAGAGTCACCTGTACAACACACCTAGCCGGCCAAAGGGCAGCGGCGGCCCAGCCCGAGGCTCCCCGAGTGGGTCCCCAGCCTTTCAGACTGAAGCGGTCCGGAGCCCGGGAACCGCGAGGCGGGTGGGGGGAAGCCGCGGAGCGACGCCCCCCCACGCGAAAAGCTCCGCCGGCCGGTGGGGATCGGAGCTGCCCGGGCCAGGCCGGAGAAGCCGGAGCGGCGGGCGGGGTTTCGGGGCAGCGCTGCGGTGGCTCGTCCCCTCCCGCTTCCCCGTCGTCGTCGCCCCGCGTGGAGGGAGGGAGGGACCCCCCCACGGGTGACCGCGGAGGCAAGAGACGCCGGCTTCTGCCCTGCTCTCCTGGTGGTCCCCTTTCCCCTCGGGCTGGGGCCGCTCCTGGAGGCCGGCGCTTGGCTGCTACGTCCGGGCAAAGCGGCCCTGCCTGCCCCCCTCCCCCCACGTCCACCCCGCCCCCGCTTCCCCGCGTGGGCGCCCCCCGCACCTTCTGGTCCACGATGGAGCAGGCCAGCTGTTTGACGTGGGCGAGGTCGCAGGCGGCGGGCAGCAGGACGTACTCGCGGGTCAGCCCGATCTGCAGCTGGAAGGAGACCCCGGCGGGGCTGGCAGGGGGGGCGGCCGGCTGGATGGGCTCGGGGGCGCCCGCGGGGGCGGCGGGCAGGGACGCCATCCAGGCGCCCGCGGGCTCAGCCGTCTCTCCCCGCCGTCTCTCTCTCTCTCTCTCTGCCCCAGCCGGGAAAGGCTGCCTGGAGCCCTCCGGCGTCTCTCCAGCGTCCGGGACGCGCCTCCGAGGACGCGGCAGCAGCGCCCGCCCCGCCGGACAAACTTTTCTCGCGCCCCCCCCCCCCCCCCCTCCACCCGCCTCTTTCCCCCGAGGAGGAAGTGCGCGGAGTGACACGCCGCCCGGCCAATGGCGAGCCCCGGGGATGAAGTCACGGAGCCCGCCCCGTCGCTCCGGAGTGGAGCCGGAACGAGCCCGGAGCCCGCGGGGAGGAAGCGGAGCTCGAAGGGTCCCGCTCCCCCTCCCCTCGCTCCCCATCCCTCGCCTGGGCACAGGACGTGGAGCCCGGGCCTGCGAGCATGGGCAAGGTGGTCTCCGAGCATGTACAGAGTACCCTTTATTGGGGTCTCTTTCTCGGGGTCTCCGATTATGGGCAGAGTGCCCTTTCTCGGGGTCTCCGAGCATGTGCAGAGTACCCTTTATCGGGGTCTCCGAGCATGTACAGTGTGCTCTTTCTCGGGGTCTTCGAGCATGTACAGAGTGCTCTTTCTCGGGGTCTCCGAGCATGTGCAGAGTGCCCTTTCTCGGGGTCTCTGAGCATGTGCAGAGTGCACAAGCCCGAGCCCGTCCTGCATCTGCAGGAATTGCAAGCTTTTGCCTTCTGCGAGTGGGATCGAACTCATTTTGGAAACACACAAGAAAACACGCAACCTTTTTGCTCCCGTTGCCCAAGTCTAACCCCAGCCAGGAGCTTTGTTCACACGATCGGATGGCCCGCTTGCGACCTGTCTTGCAAGCAGGTTCACATGTTCCTCATGATGAAGTTTGCCCCCCCGTCGTGGCGAGAGATTTGGGTGTTTGAAATTGTTGGGAGTCCAAATAGCCCCAGAATACCCGTGACTTCAGCGACCCCTCCCCAGTTCTGGTTGGGTTCTGGTTCTGGTTCTTTTTAAAAGCCGTGGGAGAGGAAGCATTTGGTCCAGGCCAGTCCCAGGGCAGGAATCCGATCCAAAGCAACCCTGTCCTGCCAGTTGGTCAAAGGGAGCCCATTTAGCAGGAGAGCAAGGGAGAAACGCGGGCGGGGGGGTGGGGGGGGGGAGAGACGCATTGGGGGGCCCAAAGTCCCCTCCCCCATCTCCCACAGCCCTGTTAGCAAAGGACTATAGGATTTGTAGTAACAACCCACCTCTATGCACAAACACGCAAAGGAAAAATCGCTCGGAGGTGAGATAGGGGCTGTATCAATTTAATTAATCGGTTGATTGATTGATTATTGATTGATTGATCCCTGGCTCTTGTTTAGACGGTCGGAATGTCTCGGCGGAGGAGCGATCTGGCGATTACTCCGACACAAAAGTCCTCCCACCAAGAACCAAAAGGAGGAGGGTGTGATAAGGAATTGCTCCGGGGCGCTTCTTCCCGGAACGGGAGCCTTGAGTCATCGGAAGGGGTGGAGGAATCCAGGTGTGGCCTTTCAGTAGGCGGGAGACCCAGCGCCCCCTTCTCAAAAAAAGAACCCCGGGAGACTTTGGGAGACCCTCCACTCCGGTCTCCTGGGCCCACAGAGGGTGGAAGGTAGGCCGCACTGCTGGGGTAGGGGGAGGATTCTGGGAGTTGGAGGTCCATCCATCTTTCTTTTCAGTTTGTGGCGCCTTCTGTTAAAACAAAAACCAAAAAAAAAAAAAGAGTTTGATCCAAAACTCAAGTTAGTTGGGTCTGGTGTTTAGGGCACAGACAAGAAACCAGGTGACGGTGAGTTGTAGTTCCCCATTGGGCATGAAATTTGGCTGGGTGATTTCGGGCCAATCACCAGGAGACGGTGAGTTCTAGTTTCACCTTAGCGATGAAAGCTGGCTGGGTGACTTTGGACCAATTAACAGGAGGCTGGGAATTCTAGTCCTACCCTAGCCATGAAAGCTGGCTTAGGTGACCTTCGGCCAATCACCAG